CTTTGATCACATCAACGCTGCAGGATTTATTTTCAGGGCTTTTGATGGCGTGCAATGCTAAGCCATTTTTTATGACGCACATAACCTAGTCACAATTGTAACCTAAAGCTCCCCTTTCGAAGATGCTGGTTGAACGTGACAATTTATTTTGACCAAAGTAAACCAAGAGTTTGCTGAAGAGTCTGCTAAAATCAGATTTTAAAACAATATGTTCGAACATTCACAGAAAACAAAAAGACATTACGAAAAACTGAAAGGACAGCCGTTCTAAAAAAAAAAAAAAAAATTCAGCAATAAAAACTCTACGTTCTTTTTGACATTTTTGACAAGGGTAGTGTATGACCGAAGGACAAATTGGGCTCTAAAAGCAATACGAGGCAAGAAGACGTTATTAAGCGAAAGGGATCAATTTTAGAAAACGAATGCAGTTTCGGGTCTGCATGAAAAATGCTTTACAATCACAGCCGAATGGAAGGAAATATAGTGAGGTCTTCATCATCCGTTCCCAGACGTCATTGTCAATGGACTCATTGAATGCTCGGCTTTTGTTCTGACCAGCAGTGATGGAACTGCAGCGTCCAGAACTACAAAGGGCACCAAGTATTGACAAGGATTTCATGCCGCTGCTAACTGTGATATAAAACTGTCCAGCCGATGATAAATTTAATAACTGAAAGCCAGAATTGAACGCAGGAGTTGCTTCTGGTCGTTCCCTGCCGGAGCAACTTCTGTTCAGCGTGTCTTGCATACACGTGCTGATATTGTCTCCGTGGCGATACGAGGAGAGAGAAAAGGTGATTGGAGGAAACATGAAGCACGTGTTCAGCGCGCAGTTATGTGCCGAATAACACACCGCCTCTCGAGGCTCATTAGCATAAAACACTACTTTCTCATCAAGATAATGAAAACGTGATTGAACAAATAGATTTCTCTCGGACATTGACTGCTTAACATGCTTAATTACTCTGCACGAAAGAATATCTGTTGAGTTGTGTTTAATATGTAGTGAAGGAACATTGCTGTAAAATACTACTAATCTGTACCACGAGGTCCGTTATCTTTCCTCTTATTTATTTTGCCTTCCTCTTTTCGTCTTTCATCCTTCTCCACTCCATTATCATCATAGTCATCAGATGTGACAATAGGTCATTGGCGATGTACGGACTGGGCTAGTGAATAATTAGGAATCTCGGACATTAACACGATTGCGTGACCTGGGGATCCAGCATAATGAAGCAAATCTCTGCGCCAGCGACGCTAAGATAGCAGACATTATAAGTAACTCCTTGTGAGAACAATCGTTAGAGGTATCTTGGAGTAGCTGCTGTGTCGTAGAACTGAGCACGCATGGAAATGACCTCCATGTCAGTGACCTCGATTGTGATGACATCGTCATCGAAAAAACTGCTATAGATCGTTGACTGGAGCGACAGATGGAATATCCCAGGTTGTAAATACCAGCACCTTCATTAGAGTGAAGTAAAGGACCCATTTTAACGCCTTCTGGCGTATTGGGCATATAGGGCTAGGCCCATATTTTATAGACCAATCGGCACTTGGTGGATGACGCGATCAGCTAGATCGACTTGGGAGCCAAGCTCATTTTTTTGGAATAAAGTCTGGCTCCCTAAGGATCCGAACCTACGATTTTCCGAGCCACAGTCGAGCGTCAGCGCCTACGTAGTAAGCCAAATATGTAAAGCAAATGCACACGCAAATTACAGACCCTTCCACAAATCCAAATTCCAGAAATGGACGAACAACCAGGACGTTTTACTGGAGTTGTTACCAGCCGGTCAACGCAAACCATATATAATTTGAAATATATTGCATTATTATATTTATCAACTATTCCGTATATAATATTAATAATAGTCATTGGTATTATTAGGCTTCTTAAAGAAGGTTAGGCTTTCTCGAGCCCTATCGCCTAGAAAATTATAAGGAGGCGGCGTGCCTAGTCAACTCCTTTTGTCACATTGCTGTGTTATTTTTGTGGAAGCCTATGAGCTATTGTCCCTATTCTGATTGCTAGCTGAAAGACTGACATCCAGTGATTCGATGTGTCACTTTTCGGACGTGAATGCAACAGGGGCAATTCCAAGAAGCAAAGTTTAACTGTATCAGACAGTTAGTTAGTTAGTTAGTTAGTTAATGAGTTAGTTAGTTAGTTAGTTAGTTAGTTAGTTAGTTAGTTAGTTAGTTAGTTAGTTAGTTAGTTAGTTAGTTAGTTAGTTAGTTAGTTAGTTAGTTAGTTGGTTGGTTAGTTGGGATATGATCAGGCACTCCAGGCATGTCCATGGGTGCTCAGATTCTTCCCTCAATTTGAAGCCCAGCGTCCTTTGACTAATAGTGCCAATTATTTGTTGATTGATAAGTCTTTTTATATGCCCCATGTGTCTCTCGCTTTTGGCTATGCCGATCTTAACTCCCGAATTTTTTATTCTGGTGAGCGATGTGGAATTGCTGTCTCGAAAGTCCTCCACCCTTCCCACTTCCATGATCCATGTGTTGACCTTCCGCAGTGATAGCAGATTCAGCCAATTTATCAGACTTTTCGTTTCCGTCGATTCTTGAGTGCCAAGGAACGAAGTGGACTTCTATTAATGGCTCAATCCACTGTCTTTGCACAGAACCTGTCTGGATCTTTCGGATCATGCTCATGGAATCGTTAAGTACACACGCATGGGTATTGTCTTGTGTTCTTAGCAATACAAAGGCAGAAAGTTATACTAGGACATCGACGGTTACAAAGTGAATAGATATAGCGGGTTGCGCAATATAAGAACTGGTTTTAACTTATTAACAAATAACAATTTAAATAAAATGGAAGTCGCTGTTGGGCAGCAGCAGTAATATTCTCGCCTGCGGATCACAAGGTCCTGTGTTCGAATCTAGGCTGGACTTTTTTTTCAAAAATAAGTTTGGCTCCAAGTTCGACCCAGCCTCAAATGGGTATCAGGTAAAGTCCTGGGAAGTAAAGGTGGCCGGTATGATGCTGGCCACATTACTCATCAAGCGCTGATTGGTCTATAAAATATAAATCTTGCCCTACAAGCCCAATACGCTTGAAGTCGTGAAAAAAATGGTATAAACAACTAAGGAAAATGATATAAACAACTAAAGAAAGTTTATAAACAACTAAAGAAAGTTTATAAACAACTAAACAAAGTTTATAAACAACTAAAGAAAGTGTATCAATAAGTAAAGAAATGTTAAATAACAACTGAAGAAAATTTAGAAACAACTAAAGAAAAGGTTATAAACAACCAAGGAACAGTTTATAAACAACTAAAGAAAAGGTAATAAACAACTAAAGAAAAGTTTATAAACAACTAAAGGAATGGTTATAAACAACTAAAGGAATGGTTATAAACAACTAAAGAACAGTTTATAAACAACTAAAGAGTAGTTTATAAACAACTAAAGAAAAGGTTATAAACAACTAAATAACAGTTTATAAACAACTAGAGAAAAGGTTATTATAAACAAGTAAAGAACAGCTTATAAACAGCTAAAGAACAGTTTATAAACAACTAAAGGAAAGGTTATAAACAACTAAAAAAAAGGTTATAAACAACTAAAGAACAGTTTATAAACAACTAAAGAAAAGGTTATAAACAAGTAAAGAACAGCTTATAAACAGCTAAAGAACAGTTTATAAACAACTAAAGAAAATGTTTTAAACAACTTAAGAAAAGGTTATAAACAACTAAAGAACAGTTTATAAACAACTAAGGAACAGTTTATAAACAACTAAAGAAAAGGTTATAAACAACTAAAGAACATTTCATAAACAACTAAAGGAATGGTTATAAACAACTAAAGAGCAGTTTATAAACAACTAAAGAGCAGTTTATAAACAACTAAAGAACAGTTTATAAACAACTAAAGAACAGTTTATAAACAACTTAAGAAAAGGTTATAAATAACTAAAGAAAAGGTTATAAACAACTAAAGACAATGTTTGGAATCGCAAAAGAGTAGCCACCAGACGCTGGCTGTCGGTCCACGGGTCGTGTGTTTAATTTCGCATTTGCGCGCATGTTTTGCTTTTCTTCACAAACACATCCGTTTCCTGGCTAGCCATGCCTAAAGTTCGTACCTCGTAAAGTCCTGGAAAGTGCACATATCCGGCGTGATGTTGACTACATCACCCTTCAATGTGTTGATTTGTCTATAAAAACTTGAGTCTATAGTCCATTCCAAAAGTCCTGCCCAACTTTAAAATATGTAACCCAGTAACCGTTCGGTGTGAACTGTTGAAGTTTGGCATATAACCTGTAAATAATTAGCACGTTTACAGTAAATGGCTTGAGAAGACGTTGGCAAAACATGAAACTGAATGCATTTTGGGTAAGAGAAACTAAGGAGCGTTTATTTTGAGTAGTGACGTGGGTACGTGATATACTGTCATAATGTTATTTAGGTAATTGTAACTCAGTTTATATGCTTTTCACAATAACGTGATCGAGAAAGTTACACTTTAGAGGCAGGGACACAGTGCATCTGCACTAAAAAATACTTTTCATTGACTTAGTTGGATCAACCCTTCTCTTCGTGATTATCGTCCAGTGACATTTGGCTCATGGAAAGTAAACAATTTGTGTCTATTACTGTATATTCTATTTATCAGGGGTACATAGATTATTAGTCCGACAAAGATCAAATAAATTGGTGGCTTCAAGAAAATTTTAGCAACTGTGCACTTGTAAAATATACATTCGTAGGGCCGTGGGAAATCTAAGACTACAGGAAAAAATGCGTATCGATACGTAGATGGGTTTTCTAAATATTTGTTGAAATTTGAGGGCACAACTTTTGGGACGGACTATAACATCATATGCAAGATGTGCAACTTGCGCGAGAAGGGTCCTTAACTTTCTTACATTCTATAGAAAAAAGTTAAACATCAATGAAAAATGTTACATACAGCTAAATAAATAAGTCAAAAGTAGGCACAGAGAAGTTATCAACTACTAAAAACAAAGTATCCATACCTTGACTTGGGACTCAGACATGCCTAGAGCGTAAGCCAGTCTGGCTCGTTCTGGTCCTGCCAGATATTTGGTTTGCTCGAATGTTTTCTCCAGGGCGAAAATTTGTTGTCCCGAGAATGTCGGTCTCGTATGCTTCTTCTTTCCGTCCTTGTCTAGGATCATTGAGTTTGACTGTGAGTCGCTCCGTTCGCATGAGCCTGTGAGCCACAGAATAGGTGACATTGTTAGTTCTTTGGTAACATGCACTCACACCGGGACAGATAGGCGAACACACACATATATAGACTGGCATCCATATAGAAAGTCAGTACATGCACATTAAGGCAGCCATACACACAGATATTCAAGCATGCAGAGACAGACATACACACAAGCATACAGGCTGACATATTCATTTATATACATACAGACAGAAACAACAATAGAAACAGCAATACCAACAACAACGCAGGCGTTCACAGACATGCACAAATTACGTATCCATTTAATGCCTTGAACACATATGCGCGCGCATATTACTACTACTATTATTACCACCACCACTGCGACTACTACCACTACTACCACCACCACTACTACCACACCACTACAAACACCACTATCACCACTACCACAACCACTACTACCACTACCACTACTACACCTACTACTACCACCACCACCACTACTACTACTACTACTTGTTCTTCTACGTTTACCCTTAAAGGGGCGTTGAAGCCTTGTGTTGTTATTTGCGGCTTGACCAGGTGAAAATTACAAGAGACATAATGTACTGACAGAATAAGCTGATGTCCAGAAGTAAAGAAAAAGAGAAGAGAAAGAAAATGAAGAAGAAGAAGAAGAAGAAGAAGAAGAAGAAGAAGAAGAAGAAGAAGAAGAAGAAGAAGAAGAAGAAGAAGAAGAAGAAGAAGAAGAAGAAGAAGAAGAAGAAGAAGAAGAAGAAGAAGAAGAAGAAGAAGAAGAAGAAGAAGAAGAAAAAGAAGAAGAAGAAGAAGAAGAAGAAGAAGAAGAAGAAGAAGAAGAAGAAGAAGAAGAAGAAGAAGAAGAAGAAGAGGAAAAAGAAGAAGAAGAAGAAGAAGAAGAAGAAGAAGAGGAACACACACACATATACACATACGAGATCGCGCAAACACCCTTTCCCCCAATCCTCTCCCTCGTTTCCGCACACACACACACACACACACACACACACACACGAGATCGCGCAAACACCCTTTCCCCCAATCCTCTCCCTCGTTTCCGCACACACACACACTCTCGAACACACACACACACACGAGATCGCGCAAACACCCTTTCGCACAATCCTCTCCCTCGTTTCCGCACGCACACACACACACACACACACACACACACATACACATACGAGATCGCGCAAACACCCTTTCCCCCAATCCTCTCCCTCGTCTCCGCACACACACACACACACACACACACACACACGAGATCGCGCAAACACCCTTTCCCCCAATCCTCTCCCTCGTTTCCGCACACACACACACACACTCTCGCACACACACACACACACACTCACACACACACACCATAAACAGTTTCTGTAATTCTCGACCAAAAAAAAAACAACAACAACTTATAAACATCCATGGTGTAATGTTTTCCTTTCGGTGGTGATCATTTCAATATACTGCCGGCACAGATCTGGAAAGTTCGTCTTCATAATTCATTTTCCTGTACTCCGGTTCTCCTACTTGGAACAGATCTCACGACCACGCACTTGATCACAACCAAAGGAGACTTGACTCCCCGATGAGTGTAGCAGACAACAGATAATCGTTCCGTGTCCCCCCCCCCCCCCCCCCCCCCCCCCCCCCCCCCCCCCCCACTTGTTCGTTAATTTCTTTTCTCTTTGGGAGGCATCAGTTTGCAGACGAAAATACCAGAAGCGGTGGAACAGTTTTTGTCTCATTAAAATTTTTAGGAACTGTCAACAAATGAAGCAGATCGCCATCAAACTTGTCATGTAGAAGTGATTCTTCCAGTCGCGAATATCGTCTGCACAAGTTGTATTCTCAATACATCAATGCTTCTCAAAGTGGTCAGTAGCAGACCAATGAGAACATTCGGCGGGGGTGGGGTGGGGGAAGTAGGGGGGGGGGGTTAACCCAATTCCAGATGTTCAGGAGATGTCGGGGGGGGGGGGGTGTCTATCTACCTAAGCCCTCAGGTTTCGGCGTCTACGGCAGATTCCAGGTGAGGTGGTGGTGCTAATTGTTTTAATTCGGTTTTTTGTTGTTGTTTGATGTTGGACTGAAAAGTCAATATCGTCTCTCTTTTCAATCTGTCGTCCACTGGAGAACTGTCCTTGCTAAAGTGTTTTGAGGCATTTTGCAAACAGGTCCAAGCCATCTCCATCTTTATCCTTGGATAACGTTTGCCAGTGACGTGCATTACAGGCTATACATTCCTTGAGATATCCCGAATCCCATGAGACGTCGAACTGTAACATTTCGTTTGTGTCGGCATGACACATGATGACGGCGAAGTATTAACGCCACCGAAGTATGGGTCCAGCGGAGGCGTGAACCTGAACCAGTTTCAGAACCGTCGTAGTTAAGTATTTAACTGCAGCAGCGTTTATTTTTCAGAGGCGTATCCCCTTACGTGCTTTTGCTGTGTAATTCTCCCATAGCGTAACGAGCAGAATTGTGTACAGTGAATTCTCAGTCGGGGAAAGGAATTAAGGTTCTAGAAGGGCCAAAAAGTCTTCGCTTTTGCCCGAAAGCAGACGATCGTCCCAATTCTAAATTTCGTGACGTGGTGGCAAGTAAATATGTCTGCCAAAACAGTGGTCCACAATTGTTACAATTGGTTATGTATCCTTTAGAGCAGGCATGTCAAACCGAAGGTCCCCTGTGGGCCGCATGGGTCACATATGTGTCGCTATAAGGGCCGCATGGGTCACATATGTGTCGCTATAAGGGCCGCATGGGTCACATATGTGTCGCTATAAGGGCTGCATGGGTCACATGTGTGTCACTATAAGGGCCGCATGGGTCACATATGTGTCGTTATAAGGGCCGCATGGGTCACATGTGTGTCGCTATGAGGGCCGCATGGGTCACACGTGTGTCGCTATGAGGGCCACATGGGTCACATGTGTGTCGCTATGAGGGCCGTATGGGTCACATGTGTGTCACTATGAGGGCCACATGGGTCACATGTGTGTCGCTATGAGGGCCGCATGGGTCACACGTGTGTCGCTATGAGGGCCACATGGGTCACATGTGTGTCGCTATGAGGGCCGTATGGGTCCCATGTGTGTCACTATGAGGGCCACATGGGTCACATGTGTGTCGCTATGAGGGCCGTATGGGTCACATGTGTGTCACTATGAGGGCCGCATTGGTCACATGTTGTCGCTATGAGGGCCACATGGGTCACACGTGTGTCGCTGTAAGGGCCGAATGGGACACATGTGTGTCGCTATAAGGGCCGTATGGGACACATGTGTGTCGCTATGAAGGCCGCACGGGTCACATGTTATCACTTTGTGTTTTTATTTTTTTCCTAAGTATTAAAACCACTTGCATTTTTTGTTTTGTTTTTGTTTTTGGCCAGACAAGGGTGTCGTAACGGAAAAAGCTTGAGAATCGCTGTTTTAATGATACATTTTTTATGTCTGTCTGAGATGTCTACGCAGTTTCGACTTTGATCAGAGATGACAAGTGTTGACCAGTTAGGCGTGTTTTACACAATGTGTTTCTGATGTCTTTAACTTTGTGGTAAAACTGTGTGATAAGATTGTGTGGTACTATTATGTGTCAAGATTAGGTGTAAGATTGTGTGTCAAGATTATGTGGTAAGATCGCGTGGTAAGACTGTGTGTCATGATTATGTGGTAAGATTGTGTAGCAAGATTTTGTAATAAGATTGTGCTTCTTAGGTTTAAACTATGTATCTATGCGTGCTTCTGATATTTTTAACACTTTGATAAGATTGTGTGAAACCAGAAATAGAACATGCTATACACCACACGAGGAAATGATAATCTCCAGATCTCCAGGGCAAGATAACGTCACTGTTGAACAGGCTGCTGGTTAATGGGGATTCGGGGGAAAAGGGGGGGGGGGGTGGTTGGCAAAACTATTCAGTGCTATTTATAACAGTGAATATATACCTGCCACAGCGAGCCACACTAAAACGTTACAACGGGTATAGAGCGAGTGGAAGACCTCGGAAAATATGGAGTGATGGCATTAAGAATAGCCTTACAGAAATGAACATTAGTCTTAAAAGAGCTCTTGACTGAGCTTATCAACGAACATTACATCTCCCCCCGACACTTCGATGAGGTACAAGGTGGAAGAGAAGAAGAAGAAGGAGAAGAAGAAGAAGAAGAAGAAGAAGAAGAAGAAGAAGAAGAAAAAGAAGAAGAAGAAGAAGAAGAAGAAGAAGAAGAAGAAGAAGAAGAAGAAGAAGAAGAAGAAGAAGAAAAAGAAGACGGATATATACCTGATGACCTTTTGAAATCTCTGTTCATGTCTTTACCAAAAATACAGGGTGCAGTGGATTGGGGAGAATAATGGGTAAGTGGCTTAATGAGTCATATAACTAAAATATTAGTGACAATTATAATGTGAAGCAAAAGGTGCACAATTAAACCAGAAATTGCAGAAGAGCAAACATTTGGTTAGGTAAAGGTACAAACAAAGCAATATTTATCTTTAGAATGCTTTCAAAAAGAATCATTGAAATGAACAGAGATCTTGGCTTTTCTGATTACACTAAAGCATTTAAAAAGGTAACTGACTGACTGGCTTTCTACCCCACCAGGACATCACACAAGCGATAAACACCCGATACACAAAGTGCCACCATGTGAATGAGGATCGCCGTGGAGAGGTCCCAGAAACCGCTTTCAGACAATTGGCCATATCTATGACCTGCCTATATTGCGACTCCTGGCAAAAGCCAGGGTGGGGCTTCAAATAACAAAAAATGTCATCCTAAAAAGGACGAAACTGGATATACGTATGCTATAAAACACCTGATTTTGAAAAGGTAAAACAAGAAGAAATTATTAGAACTTTAGAAACCTTAAACACTTATGGTAAACAATCGAATAATAATAATAATAATATTCACTGGCAAAAAAGAAGCAGCCTTAAGAATTGACAACCAAGCTAGAACTTTTTAAAACATTAAACGGAGCAGGGATGTGTACTATCACTCAGTT